GCCTCAGTCGTTTAGAGAGAACCCTAAAAATGTTCCACCGATTCTTTAAATTGTGTTCTCAGAATTCCTTATTTTTGGGCCGGCTGAAATTTGGGAACACTTTGGAATATGATTTTTTTATTCCGGAAATTGGCCCAAAAACAGAAATTGTTCAAGCACTGTTGGACACAATACAGCCCATACCAAATGTTGAGGTTGAAATTCGCGCAATCCGATACGATACTGTTTTCCTGCAAGGAAGAAAGAAGAAGATCGATGAACCTTGACAGCACCGGTGTGGTGCCTGCCAAAAGCTCTCCGACGATCAGATTAGTCACGGAGGTCTAAAAAGAAGGCAGGGATTCATAATAGTTTTTACGTCGTACCTTCTTTAATGGCTTGATGCCCTATTTATAGCTGTCGATTGGAATCAAAATCGTTTCGCTGATGTCGATGGTTGACCTTATTTTCCGCTTGTGCGAAATCACAGGAGATTTATTACCAGATTTGTCGGGATATGATTTAATCCTTTTGACCTCCTCCAGTTATAGTATGATTATTCTTACTTGTTGAACCACGTCAGATTTGATTTCATTATTCTTGATAATGAAATCTAATCAATCTTATCGAGGGTAGGGTAGGTTTATATTTTTCCCTATCAGTTGCCCCTCATTCCCAAGCTTGCACGTCTAGCTTTGGGAATGTAATAAATAATAATAATACTTTTTTTTTTTTTTTTTCAACCCGTGAACAGTACCCGCGGGTACTATTCATGAAAATAGTAACTCAGGGAATTTTTTTTTTTTTTTTTTAAATACCCCTGTGAACAGTACCCGCGAGCACTATTCATGTGCATAGTAACTCAGGGTTTTTTTTTTTTTTTTTTTGCACTCGAGGGAATAGTACCTGCGGGTACTGTTCTTGAATATCCGAGGGAACAGTACCCTCGGGTACTGTGCATGAACAATACCCGCGGGTACTGTTTATGAATAATATATATATATATATATTTTTTTTTTTTTTTTGCACCCGAGGGAATAGTACTCTTCTTTTTATAAGGGAATAAATTATACGAGTTTCACTCCTTAATAAGGGAATTGAATTTTACGAGTTTTACTCAGCTGTCCCTTTATTAAGGGAATTGAACTTTACGAGTTTTACTCAGCTCACCTCTTTAATAAAGGATTTTTATTTACTATCCCTTATTGTAAGGGGATATTAATTATGGGATTCATCCAACCCAGGTCCTTGTAGTACAGGACATTCATTTATTATCCCTTATATTACAGGGATATGGATTACGGGATTCATTCAACCCGGGTTCTGATAATACAAGATACTTATCCCCTATAGTCCAGGGATATGGATGACGGGATTCATTCAGCCCGGGTCCTTGTAATACAGGACACTCATTTACTATTCCCTTATAGTACGGGGATACGGATTACGGGATTCATTCAGCCCGGGTCCTTGTAATACAGGACACTTATTTATTATTCCCTTATAGTACGGGGATACGGATTACGGGATTCATTCAGCCCGGGTCCTTGTAATACATGACACTCATTTACTATTCCTTATAGTACGGGGATACTGCAAGTATAAACTAAAAGGAATTTTATTAAAGACCATCATTATTAAAAACAAAATAACACGTGATGGAGCTACCCTCCATTTAAAATGATTAACTAAGATGCCTCCAGTCTTTATTGTGAATGACTTGATAAGGCTAATTCCAGCCGCGAGACAATTTTTAGTCAGTATACTCATCTGAGTCATTCTCATGATATGTGCTGTCACTCTGGCTGAAGAACGATTTCTTATATTTGGTATTATTTTCATCTCTGGCGAGAGGGGCTGGCCTCTTTTTGTCCTCTCCTTCCTTCCGTACACTCATGGTGTCTTCAGCGCTGATGTGTTTTTGCGCTCTGATCAGCAACTCTATCATGCTGGTGGGAGGTTCTTTTGATAAGGAGAACAAGAATCTGGAGGTTTGGAGTCCTCCTATGAAAGCGGTCAAAGCTACCTTGTCGTCCGCCTCTTCTACCTGCAACATCTCTGCGTTGAATCGGGTGATGTATTCCCGAATCGACTCTTCCTTTTGTTGCTCCACGGTAAACAGGTAGGTAGCCGGCCTGCTATGCCTCTGACCTGCAATGAAGTGGCTCACAAACTGCTTACTCAATTCTTCGAAAGTGTTGATGGTTCTTGGTTTCAACTTGTTGAACCAAACTCTCGCTGATCCCTTAAGTGTAGTGGGAAAAGCTCGGCACATGATTTCATCTGGCACAGCGTATAAATGCATAAGAGCTTGAAAAGTTTCCAGGTGATCGAGGGGATCTTTGGTCCCATCGAAGCTTTCGAACAAGGGCATCCTGAACTTGCTAGGTAGTGGACATTTCATAACGGCGGGGCTGAAAGGCAAGTTGGTCCTTTGTACCAAGTCATCTACGGTGGCAGGACCTTTCCCTTTCATAGCCTGCATTACATCTTCCATTTTCCCCTTGAGATCCTTGATCTGCAAGTCAAGATGGGTAACTTTCTTTGTCTTTTCTTTAAGATAGAAGGCTATGTTTTCAGGAGGTCGGGAACTCCGTAGGAGAGATGGGTGAACCACCTCTCTATGTCGGGTTCCCACCTGGCTTTGTTCCACTTCAGTCTCATTTTGGGGGGAATGATTATCCCTCTTTTCAAGATTTTCATTACCTCCGTTTGGACTTGAGAGATCTTGTCCTGGAAAGTTTTGTTGAGCCGGTGGAACAAGGTGTTGCAAGAGCGTTGCATTTTACTGGATCAACTGGTTCATACCCTGACTCAGAGTTTGAACCTGTAGTTCTAACGCTGCAAGCCGTGCCTGGTCGTTTGGGACGTCTAGGTTTTCACCCGACTCTACCCTTTGACCAGATCCCTGCGACGGTGTTCCTTCGGTAACCATACCGAACTGCAAACGTATATACCCAACGAGTAATTAATTGATTCAAGGGAATCGTGATTCCCATAGACGGCGCCAACTGTTGAGGCTGAAATTCGCGCAGTCCGATACGATATCGTTTTCCTGCAAGATCGATGAACCTTGACAGCACCGGTGTGGTGCCTGCCAAGAGCTCTCCGACGATCAAATTAGTCACGGAGGTCTAAAAAGAAGGCAGGGATTTATAATAGTTTTTACGTCGTACCTTCTTTAATGGCTTGATGCCCTATTTATGGCTGTCGATTGGAATCAAAATCGTTCCGCTGATGTCGATGGTTGACCTTATTTTCCGATTGTGCGAAATCATAGGAGATTTATTTCTAGATTTGTCGGGATATGATTTAATCCTTTTGACATCCTCCAGTTATAGTAGGATTATTCTTACTTATTGAACCACGTCAGATTTGATTTCATCATCCTTGATAATGAAATCTAATCAATCTTATCGAGGGTAGGGTAAGTTTATATTTTTCCCTATCACCAAACAAGTTAGTGTCCTCAATAGTGTCCATTTGCACCGTAGGGAAGGGCATAGAACAAGATGGAGCATCCCCCAAACAGGCCCTAAATATAAAAATTTGGAGTAGCCATGTATGTTTGCAAAAGAGCCCGACCTCGCAGCCCAACCATACTACTAGATTATAAATAATAAATATAACCAAGCCCAGCCCAGATCATCTCATTCCCAGATCAGGCCGACTGTAATTATACTTATTAGTTATTTACGTTTCTCGAAGTCTATTTTTTTTCAATTTGGGCCGAAATGAAGTCCAAAGAGATAAAAATCAAGAGCCCAACCCCCATGCTAGGCCCACATACAACTATCCCAAAACTGCAAGCCAACTCGACCCATTATGCACACTTATAGCAATTATCCTGTTTGCACTAGGTCAAGCTCGGAAGGCGAAAAAGTAGCTACTAAAATTGGGTTGGACCTCCTACAAATTTCCAAGGGTTCATTGGATTGCATGAAGTAGATAGAAAGGAAAAGAAACAGAAAAATTACTTAATTTTTTTCACTTTCTCCACAAACTTCATTAATAGGTCAGTTCCCTTCTATTATAAATTGTTTATATAATAATGTAATACTATTTTAATTGTATATAGTTTTATATGTACATACAAAATTAAAATTTTATTATATTTTTTTCTTTCCATAATTAATAATAATTTAGAGTGATATATATATATATATAATTTTTCACCGAACACTCTGTTCCTAAATATTCAGATTGACTGTTGGGTGAAAAATTAGGATTAGTATCTCTATCATACAATTTACAATTTAATTCGTACATGTTTTTTTTTATACATAGACTTTTCTCGACTTTAAGACTCTAGGCAAATTAGATGTACTAAACTAATTTAATTTCAATTCTACATATATTAGATGTATCAAACTAATTTAGTTGAATCATTGTATTTCGTTTAGGCTAAACTTTTTTTTTTCTATGACTAAAAGTATATATATTAACTTCAATCTTTTTTTCTAAATATTTTTCAGAACAAAATTTTTTATTAATTAAACTTGTCCTATAATCACATATATTAAATTATTAAATATCAGATTAATTGTTTCATTTTGAACTTAAAATTTTAATTTTGTTCATAATTTAGAAGATAGGGTAATGTCTCGAAAGAGTATAAAGTAATCTTATAACTAAAAGGGTAATTTTGATAACGGCAATCACTTTCTTTTCACTTTCATGTTTTCCAAACTCACAAAATAATATTTTCTTAAAAAATATTCTTGCTAACCAAGTGCATGATGGAAACTTAATTTCCTTTTTCTTTATTTCACTTTCACTTTTCATCATAATTTTTCATCTAACCAAACAGACCCTAAGCTAATTTAAAAGAAGCATCCCAAAACATTGACAGTTCATTTTTGTGTCAATGGTTTCTAGGCAAAGCAAAAAAAAAAATCATACGAAGAATATGAATGTCTACCAGCAAAACCAGCAACCTAAACCAACATATTGATATTGAGGGAATGCCAGAGTTGATAAAGTGCAATGTATAATTTCAGTATCATAAGATTCTCAACAAGTCCAGTATGGAGAAATGCAGGAGCAAATGGTAAAATATAACTCTGTTTGAAAGATCAGTAGATTCTAAGAATCATGAAACCATGTAATAACAATGGACAATCTGATTTGAAAACTTCGTACATGGCATGTGTCTCGCAGAACTTCGAATGAGAGGAAAAGAAGATTCCAAAACCTACAATTTACCACGAGAAGAATGGTAATTGTCTGAGCCATTTACATGTTGATGCTCATTCAAGATCAATGCTGCAATCGTCAAGACAGTCTTCAGATTAGGCCAAAGAAAGCAGTTGAGTGCGCTTAAATATGTAAAATACAATCTAGAAGCTAGCAGCTAATTTTGATTACAGAAATGCTACCAAGAGAGCTCTCTCATGACAAGAACCATCAACTCTCCATATTTAACCACTGGATTGAAAGGTGTATTAACTGATTCAAAACGTCTCAATCTAGTGGTTAAATACACGAGGGAGTTCTCTTGATAGCATTATTCTTTAGATTCATAAGAACTACGCGGCAGAGTAACCATCCATGTAAATTATTTGTAAAACACAGGTAAAAGATTCAGAAATTTTGAAGTTTTATACGGCAGCTTACTGTTCTGCATCCTAACAAAAAAGCCAATCAATGGCCAGTTTTCACTTCCATGCACTGGAAGCAACCAAATCTCTGTCCATCCAACCAAGATATAGAGCTTCATCTCTCTCCGCAAGCCGATATTTCTTTGAGTACTTTTCCAGGAGCATTTTGATGGTAGCATTCACCAAAGAGCTCAACGGGTATGGAGTAAATCCAGCCATTCTGAACCGTGATTTCCACTTTCCAAAAAGCTCATGCCGTTCAACCCTCTCAGTCCCCTCACATGCTATTACACTCACAACATCCCTTGCTAGGCAGTGCTGCTCGACATTTATCCGCTCCTTGTGTTCCCTTTGAAGAGTCACATCAATTGATTCGAACATGGCTGTATAATAGTTAAGTGCCTCTATAAATCGGGGGAAGAATGCAGCAGTGTTCGTGTTAAATTCTTGCTCAACTAGGGTCACCACCTTGGGAGACAAGCTTTTAACTAGCCTCAACAATTGGTCTCGACGATTTTGAGTGCCAACACTTTCATCTGGCATGTGATGCAACACGAATGCAAAATTCACAGCTAGTGCCTCACCGGATCGAATACCTAGATTTCCAAGCCGAACTTCACTATCTGATATGACTGCAGCATGGAACTCAAATGGCACTTTAAATGACTTGGCAAGCCTAGATAGCCTCTCACCGACAATATTTAGTCCTCCTCCACGAGCATAAGCAGAAGTGGAATCATCAATACCCGTTATACGAATGTGGGGTGGCCCACCAGGCCGAGCTGCAAAAGCCTGGATCAGACTGACCCACTGACACCCCTGAGAAATTCGGAAGTCAATAATATGAACTCTTTTTTCATCCTTCATTGCTTCTGCAATGGCACCATTCGCAGACATATACCCAAACTTTAAGTAAGGGCAAACCTCATAAAGACTGTACATGTAAGAACGAAGCTCGGCACTTGCCGGCTCTTTGCCTCTCAAAGATTTGTAGATGGAACTTCCAGAAGAGGCCAGTCTGGCAACAAGCCCTTCCAGCATGTATGCTCCCAGACGCTGGATCGGTTCACCAGAAACTGACACCATTTGACGTAATTCAGCCATCAACCACTGTGTGGTGTACAAGTCATTATTCGATACTGCTTTGGCGCAGGCAATCAAAATTTGCTTCAAGTCCCCCCTGGGAATCACCTGCATAATTTGTCTCCAACTGTCTATCTCTTCTGAGGCCATTCCCCCTTGTAAGGTATTATCGTAATCGTCAAGTATATCAGAATCAGGCCCCAGCATTATATTTTCCAATTCTTGCAGCTTGTGCCTAAGGCTATTGACATCATCAGTTATGCAGGAACAACTTACAGGAGAGCCATAAGTACTTTCTGAGTGCTGAGAGTCAGGAAGGAATGAATGAGATTCTTTCTGGGACATGAGGCTTCCATTGGGTGATAAACTGACGGTCGATGGTGAGCTGCAGATGGTATAATTGCCGGTGGATGAGGATGACTCCAGGGTGCAGTACAGTTTGCGGGAAGTCTGAATGGAGAATTGGCTCCCATGAATGTTGTTATTATGGCATAACTGGTGGTCTAAAGTCTGAAATTGAGGCAAACTACACGACTCAACTTCTTGAATCGGCTGGTAGTAAAATGCATTGGACATCATTAATCTTCTGTGTTGCAGTGAAGCTTGCACCGAAGAAGTGAGTCTGCTTGGTCCCTGTATATTAGCAGGGTATCCCGGCACTCCTTTTTTTTAATAGATTTCACAGCAAATCAATGTCAGAATGTGATGTGTTATTGAAGAAAAAAACTTGGTATTTGTGGCTGCACCACAGCAAGGCTTCGATGTTTTTTTTCATAAACAGCTAGATAATCTGTTTGACAACAACAGACTGCAGTCACGCGATCAGATCAGGCTACTCGATGGCAGAAATCCAGATGGATTCTACTTGGAAGAAAGGATGTCCATTATCTAACAGTGAATAAACAGAACCTGCATAAGAATTGAAATGAGATCACTGCAATTTTACTGAAAAGTTGAAAACTTATGAAATCTGATTAAGAAAATATGAGGCAGCAATTATATTACACCATGAACTCAACAACACGGTATATGCCCTTCAAGGTATCTTCTTCCTGTCCTTTACTTCTCAATTTCTATTTATATTTAAGCAGTGCCTTCTTTAACTTTCTTTTTCCTTTTTTATTTTTATTTATAATTTTAAACAAAGAATTTCCGTCCTTTCATAATTTAAAATTTAGTTTCCTATTCCCAGTTGCCGTCAAAAAGTCCTTGCAAATATGAGCTTAATTAACGAGTGATCTGTGTTCAAATAAGATATATTACTGCAAATAGAATATCACGATTTCTGATGCCAAGATGCAACCTCTTACATAAAGACCACACCATGCTATAAGGATTTTACATAAACCTCTTCAAATACATTGCTTTACATCTAATCATATAGCAATTTCAAAATTGAAACTCCCATACCAAAATAAAAATTCTTTTCTCCTAAAAGATTAAAGAAGTAGCCACGCAAATCTTAAGGACCCCAAGGCTTTCGGAACACTCTCTTTATGGCGGGGATTGCACAAGACTCACTAGATGAAGGTCAAAAAAATCGAAAATGGTGAAACTTCATAACTGATTTGTTTAGCATAAGCTTATGTAACAGATATGCAGATACCAACAGCAACCCGAAAATTAGATCAAGTTCAATACTTTTTCATTCTATAAGTAGAAATTTAGTATTAACTGATTTAGGTTGACACTAGATTCTGATACAAGTCAAGGGATGCCTTTAAAGTGGTGGTTTTTGTATTACTTTATGAATTCAAACTAGGAAATAATTCCTTTCAAGCACAGTAATCACTTATCCTTTCCCCTTTGCAGAAGGTTTTTAAAAACAAGGGAGACACCCAGGGGATCCCATATTCAAAAAGTCCCAAATTCTTAACTTCAACAACCGGTCCAAACTACTTGATCTGACAAGCTCTTTTTTAATTTCAATAGCCAAGTATGGAGGCCTCAACAGGATGCGAGGATGCTTGTGAACAAGCTGGTACTCGAGTAATTTCAACAAAAACCATGAAACTGTTAAACCTAATCCACTTGAAAAATGGGTTCCGGTATATCAAATATGAAAACATAATAAGTATTCTCAAGACAACAGATGAAGTGGAATGGAAATAGGTAAAGGGCTTGTTGAGTTTAGTTGAATTTTATGGACAATAGTTTATCTGAAATCATGTATTGCAACAGAAATGGGGTAATTCTAAGTATCACTGTGGCATTCTTACAAACATAAACAATTCATTCTTACAAACAGAAACAATTTTGAATACATGTAATGTAAGTAAAACAAGTATTCCTAATAATAATCTTCAATAATTTCAAGTGCAACTGAACACATAAACTCAACCAATTCTTGAAAAAAAGGCAAATTGCTCAAATTTCCAACTTCACCAGATACAAATTATCACAAAATTAACCCTTAATTATACTCCCCACAAATACTCAAAACCCAGAACAAAGGGAAAATTGCGCAATCGAAAAATGAATGCGCTCGTAGGCACTAGCAAGGACATACAAAATAAGACCCATTAGAACACAGCTAAACCTTCAACTTCAAATCACCAAAAGAGAGAAACAGAGATGACAAATGAAGTAAATAAATAAATAAGTACCTTTTACAGATATATCAGCGACCCATTCTCAGTAACTTCGTATCATCCATAAACAAGAAATGAACTCGGAGCTTAAAATTTTCTCCAAAAGCCCTAAACTGAAACCAAATTGTCAAAAAGCCACTTGAATATAGTATCAGAAAACAGAGTGCTCAAGAAGAAAACAATCTGCAAAACAGCAATAACAAGTCAATCTCGAGGTGAGAATAACTTCAGTTTTTAATAATGGATCAACATACCCTTGAATTGAATAATTCCATGTCTTGAATTACACTCCAAGCGAGAGTTTTAGAGAGAGAGAGAGAGAGAGAGTTAGAGAATGTGTGTGTCAAAGAGACAGATGCAGAGTCCTCTGACAAAGACGACCCGTGTACTATTAAAGAGACTGGATTAGCTAATACCCTTGCATTTCCGCAGAACTACATCAATACCACTGCGATATTTTATAAAATGATAATGGAATATTAATTTTATTTTAGTGTCAAAACTCAAAAGTACCCTTCATTCGAATGGACAAATGGGTTCTGAAATTTCACACTTCTGTAAGTGCAGTAATTTATAATACTTTATAGCAAATTAGGGTTGAAAATTTGAACACCAGCACACTCACACGAAAAGTAAAATATGTTATTAATTAAATTACTAAATAATGTTGGTATAATATATTGACCATTGTACATTTGCTATGAAAATACTGTCCTCATGCCACATTTCTAATTACAACTATAAGAACTGTAGATGCTTGATCCCCTCCTCTGTGCAGGGAATTTTCTGTACATGTTGTGCATTAAAATGATATTATTTTGCCACCCAACTCGAAATTTAATAAATTGTTTGAAACTTTAACACGAAAGTTCTAAATTTATTCATCAAAATAACATTATTATTTTAACTGACATATCTTATCTTGTATGAAATACATATGATGATGCTTAAGGTGAATACATTACCAACAGTGATAATTGCACCACCAATGGTGAGATTTCTAAGAAAAATGGAATCCACGTTTCACATTTTTTAAAATTTTATTTTTACATAATTATCCTTTAAAGACACTAGTATTTTAGAACTAATTTTAAACCTGTTTTTATATTCCTGAGAAGCAATTTTTTCATTTTTTTTATTATAAAATTAAAGTAGAGTTTTTTTATTTTATTTTATATACTCTTGAATTTTAATCATTTAATTCTAAGAAATTTAAATACGTTAATTAAATGGTGAAACACTTTAAAATTACGTAAAAGTTAATGGAATCTTCCCAATAATTTCTTTTCAACTCACATGATCCATCTCAGAAGATGAAATTAAATAAAGCCACAAAAAGATTTTGTGATGGTTGCTTAGAAAGAAGAATATATATATATATATATATATAAAATATGAGTATCTTTTTCTATACGTTTTCACTTCACTTGTACTCAAAGTATAATTTTATAACGTTGAATGGCAAATACTGAAATCAAAGTATATTGTCTTTTTATAATCAAAGTATAAAGTAAACTTTTGCAAAGATTTGCCAAAATTATATGATTACTATTTTTATTTGAAAAATTATACCGGTCTCTCATTTATATATTTTATTGCTTATGTTTAGTTGTTTACAAATATTAGGTCCCGTTTTGTATGCATTTTGTTTTTATTGTTTTTATTTTTTGGTTGCTATAATATTGATTTTGGCAACAAAAGCATATTTTGTGCAGCCTTATTTTATTTTACACAGCTAAAACACTTCGTGAATAATTACCCAAAATCAGAATATGAAAAAGTTATTTTTTCTTATTTTGATAATTGTTTATAGTTCAAAATTATAAATGTTCATGTTTCTGTTTCCGACATTTTTACAGTAAAATATCGTTCCCAAATGCGCTTCCGATTTTTATTCAAAACACTCCTACAGTGAAAATACTATTTCTGTTTTAGACAAAAAAAAAAAAAATGTTTAAAACAAAATACATACCAAACATACCCTTATCAATTAAATAAACTAATTTTACAAGGGTAAAACTAGTATTATTAAATTTCAAATTGCTAACATAAAAAATTAATAATAAAAATAAAAAAAATTGTTGACTTGACTGTTAGTGTAAAGTGACTGGAAACTAGTAGTACTATACTAGTCAACAATGTTTTTTTAAAGAAGAATTAGATATAGTGTAATTATGACAAAACAAGGAAGGTAACTAAAATTGAACCTGAAAACTTTTTGAAGTAACATAGTAATAATATGTAATTCGAACTCAAAGATGGCTTTGGAATCAAATGCAGTGAAAAATGAAGATAAAGAGGAATCTTGTTCCAGTTTGATTTTGGTCACCAAATTCCAATGTGAGACTATCTCAGGGCCCACCATCACTTCAGGAGCTCTTTTGTCCATTCAATCTCTCTCTCTCTCTCTCTCTCTCTCTCTCTCTCTCTCTCCCCTACTCATTTTTAGTACGATAATGATCACTTTATGTTCTAATTACTATATTAATGCACGCTTGAAGCTTAGACTTAGAGCACGCTTAAGATTTGTTTAAGATTGGATTAAGATTTGTTTATGGAGCAATAGCTTCAAGTTTAACCATGAAGCTTATGCTTCTTGTTTAAATTGGTCTCGTCATTTTATTTTTTTGACAGAAAATTGGTCCCATCATTCGAGTTGTTAGAAGTAATGCAACTTGAATTGCATAAATCTAACCATACATAAGGATTCTATTCATAGACGAAGAGTTATAAGTAAGTAAGTGTTATACAATTAAGTTATAAAGATAATTGGGTAACGGGATGTTATACAAAGGCAAGTGAGGGATATAAAAGTACATGCATATCTAAATATCCTCTTTAAACCCTAGATGGATTATATGAAACTAATTTAAGCTTGGAGACAAGATAATGAAAGTGGCCTCATGTAAGAGATTTGGTGAAGATAGGGTTTTCATTCATGATGTAGATAGAAGCACACGGAAGCATGATGGCAGAACTATGAAGATCCGACACATTGGCAGAAGTGCATGATTACCGCTAGAGGTGTATGGAAGCGCGGTGGAAAAACTGTGAAGATCAATTCGACATATTGAAGTGCATGCAAGAGTGTTAACGTGAAGATCATTGAAGGTGCATGGAAACATAGTGGCCCGACATGCTGGTGAGGGATTTGTGAAGATTTAGCATGTTGAGGTTTGCGAAGGCATGTGGTGGTAGATTTGAAAATGGTGGTAGACGTGATGTTTGCTATAGGACGGAAAAAGATATGTTTTTGCAAAGATTTGGACGATTGACTACTTGTTGGGATAAGGCTGATTATGCCGGACAACAATAGACTGAGAAGAGTATTACCAGTGATTGACGGACTCTGATACAATGTTAAAAGTAATGTAACTGTATATTGAATTGCATAAATGACGTACACAAAGATCTTATTTATAGGCGAAGATTAGGGGTAGGTGAGTGCTACACAAGTAAACTATATATACAAGGCAACTATGTATGTGAATGTTATAGAAAGTAGTAGTGTAGTGTGTAAAAAATCATAAGTGGTAGGTAAGGATTATAATAGTAGATGTATAATCTAACACAAGTTTTGTCATATAAAAATTAAACCTAGTTCTTGTTGTATTTAGGAAATTATGTGTGATCATCGGGTACACTAATGTAACACAACTATATCATACAATGCAATAGAACTATATCAAAAACTGCAACATGCATGCAACAATTTTTTAAAAGTTATGCAATATAGTATTTATATTGAAGGTATAACACTCAGACAATACATTACATCATGTATAACATTATAACACTATTACATCAAAATTTTAACACATTTACATAATTATTGCATTGTCAATTTAAAATTTTTGCATTTAAGATTTAAAATTGTTGCATTAGGTATATATATAGGACAAGCACTAGACAAAAGTGACATAAAAAAAGAAACCTTGATTGGTAAAGACAAATTATGTATTAAAGAGAAATTATTAAATGATTTTGATCTACTTTCATCTAAGATAAGTGACTCAAAAAAAGTGTTATAAAATATTATAAAAATACTTAAATATTGTCCAAAACAATTTAATAATTTTTAAACATTATATATATATATATATATAATGTTTAAAAATTATTAAATTATATATATATATATTTTTGGAAGTCACAATCTCACACCTACATCAACATGGACCCGAATATGGATTACGCGCATGGTATCTCTAATAAGATTAAGATACTACTAGTAGTCCTATTAAATTATTAAATGTTCTGTCATATGTATTACTACTATGTGAATCCCATAATGAAACTTGACTTTTTGTGCAATTTTCCAGTAGTTACGGCGAACATGTTTGGGCTTTTGGGAGATACAGCAATAAAGTTACATGAACACATTCACTCACCATTTTTTTTCTGTCTCCTTGTCTTCCTCTTCATTTTCTAGAAAGTGTAACCCATTGAAATTTACAAACCCTACAAATGGGTACAAGAACCATTTTTTGATTCTCATTTTGGGTATCAAGTAGGTCCTTTTCATCCATGACAAACTCCTGGCTTTAGCTTTAGTTCTGCATGCGCGTTTTACAACATACAAATCAATGTCTGAGACTTCCGTGGCTCCGTCATTGCAAGATCCATGGAGAATGTGCTATACGTTACTTTATTTTTACATATAAAAATTGTTTTCGATTTTGAATTTGTGATGTTCGGTTACGATGGAACAACTTAAATATTTAGATTAATTCCACAAAATGTTGTTTATTATAAAGAGTGGATTCCCTTTGTCAATGGTGTTTCAATCACAATGATTTAGTTCCATTATTCAAATTATATACTTAGTTTAAGTTATAAAAATACATAAATTGGTGGAACTGTTAATTCAGATGCTCGGTTCGGTAGGAAAGAAAAGAAATTAATAGATGAAAGGAAGAGTAGAAGTAATGTATGAGAGATCCCTAGGGAAGAGGTAGTGTCCTCTTTTCTTTTTTGTTCGATTGGGTAAAAAAGAAAAAAATAAGTTTATAATTTATTATGTTAGTTAGGAGAGAAGGAAAAATACAATTTTAAATTATTTTTATCATTATGTCCGGTAATATTGAAATTCATGGAATCATAAAAAATAGTACTGTAATTTAAAATTAACATAATTTAAGATAGTTTTAATAAATAGATTTATACTGATATTTGTCCGCATTCGTGATACCACAATCACGAAATATACTACTACTGCAAATCATGAATAAAAAACATATTTACAAAGTGACTTTCCTTAAACTCAAACTTGTCAAGATGAATTTTGCCATTAAATCAAATAATAACACTCAGAAGTAAACAACTAAAAAAAAAACATTTAATATAAAGTCTTTGCCCC